TAACGCAATTAAAATATTGCCAAAAATTGGATTTCGAAGCGGATCCTAATAATAAATTTAAACCCTTAATAAAAAAAACAAGTTTTTTCGATTCAAAATCAATTAAATTTCCTTTTATAACGCAATTAGACTATTGCCAAAAATTAGATTTCGAAGCGGACCCTAATAAATTTAAACCTTTAATAAAACAAAACTATTTTTTTTCGATTCAAAATCAATCAAATTTCCTTGTATAACGCAATTGAAATATTGCCACAAATTGGATTTCGATGCGGACCTAAATAATAAATTAAAACCCTTAATAAGAAAAACCATTTTTTTCGATTTCAATTTAAATATTGCCAAAAATTGGATTCCGAAGCGGACCCTAATAATAAATTTAAAACCTTAATTTTAAAAAAACTCTTGTTTTCACTTTCGAAATCAATTGAATTTCCTTTTATAAAACGCAATTGAAATATTGCAGAAAATTGGAATTCGCAGTGGAATCGAAATTATGTCTATGTTTCCTACGGAATTAGCTGCTGAATCCAACACTTAGAACGTCAGAACCCCCAAAAAGCACCAAAGAGTATACCGTTCCAGAGATAAAAGATCGCCAATATTTGCAAATCATATGGGAGGGAAAAGCCAAATGGTACGAAATTATGTCTATGTTTCCTACGGAATTAGCTGCTGAATCCAACACTTAGAACGTCAGAACCCCCAAAAAGCACCAAAAGGATCCAAAAGGTATAGTGTTCCAGAGATAAAAGATCGCCAATGTTTGCAAATCATTTGTGAGGGAAAAGCCAAATGGTACGAAATTATGTCTATGTTTCCTACGGAACTAGCTGCTGAATCCAACACTTAGAACGTCAGAACCCCCAAAAAGCACCAAAAGGATCCAAAAGGTATAGTGTTCCAGAGATAAAAGATCGCCAATATTTGCAAATCATATGGGAGGGAAAAGCCAAATGGTACGAAATTATGTCTATGTTTCCTACGGAATTAGCTGCTGAATCCAACACTTAGAACGTCAGAACCCCCAAAAAGCACCAAAAGGCATAGTGTCCCAGAGATAAAGAACGCCAATATTTGCAAAACATATGGAAGGGAAAAGCCAAATGGTACGAAATTATGTCGATCTATGTTTCCTACGGAACTAGCTGCTGAATCCAACACTTAGAACGTCAGAACCCCCAAAAAGCACCAAAACGTATAGCGTTCCAGAGATAAAAGATCGCCAATATTTGCAAATCATATAGGAGGGAAAAGCTAAATGGTACGAAATTATGTCTATGTTTCCTACGGAATTAGCTGCTGAATCCAACACTTAGAACGTCAGAACCCCCAAAAAGCACCAAAGAGTATAGCGTTCCAGAGATAAAAGATCGCCAATATTTGCAAATCATATGGGAGGGAAAAGCCAAATGGTACGAAATTATGTCTATGTTTCCTACGGAATTAGCTGCTGAATCCAACACTTAGAACGTCAGAACCCCCAAAAAGCACCCAAAAGGTATAGTGTTCCAGAGATAAAAGATCGCCAATGTTTGCAAATCATTTGGAGGGAAAAGCCAAATGGTACGAAATTATGTCTATGTTTCCTACGGAATTAGCTGCTGAATCCAACACTTAGAACGTCAGAACCCCCAAAAAGCACCAAAAGGATCCAAAAGGTATAGTGTTCCAGAGATAAAAGATCGCCAATATTTGCAAATCATATGGGAGGGAAAAGCCAAATGGTACGAAATTATGTCTATGTTTCCTACGGCATTAGCTGCTGAATCCAACACTTAGAACGTCAGAACCCCCAAAGAGCACCAAAAGGTATAGCGTTCCAGAGATAAAAGATCGCCAATATCTGCAAATCATATGGGAGGGAAAAGCCCAATGGTACGAAATTATGTCTCTGTTTCCTACAGAATTAGCTGCTGAATCCAACACTTAGAACGTCAGAACCCCAAAAAGCACCAAAAGGATCCAAAAGGTATAGTGTTCCAGAGATAAAAGTCGCCAATGTTTGCAAATCATATAGGAGGGAAAAGCTAAATGGTACGAAATTATGTCTATGTTTCCTATGCGGAATTAGCTGCTGAATTCAACACTTAGAACGTCAGAACCCCCAAAAAGCACCAAAAAGTATAGTGTTCCAGAAGTAAAGACCGCCAAGATTGGCAAATCATATGGGAGGGAAAAGCCAAATGGTACAAATTATGTCTATGTTTCCTACGGCTTAGAACGTCAGAACCCCCAAACAGCACCAAAGGGTATACTGCTCCAGAGATAAAAGATCGCCAATGTTTGCAAATCATATAGGAGGGAAAAGCTAAATGGTACGAAATTATGTCTATGTTTCCTACGGAATTAGCTTCTGAATCCAACACTTAGAACGTCAGAACCCCCAAAAAGCACCAAAAGGTATAGTGTTCCAAAGATAAAAGATCGCCAAGATTTGCAAATCATTTGTGAGGGAAAAGCCAAATGGTACGAAATTATGCCTATGTTTCCTATACGGAATTAGCTGCTGAATCCAACACTTAGAACGTCAGAACCCTCAAAAAAACACCAAAAGGTATAGTGTTCCAGAGGTAAAGACCGCCAAGATTGGCAAATCATATGGGAGGGAAAAGCCAAATGGTACGAAATTATGTCTATGTTTCCTACGGAACTAGCTGCTGAATCCAACACTTCGAACATCAGAACTCAGAACCCCCAAACAGCACCAAAGGGTATACTGCTCCAGAGATAAAAGATCGCCAATGTTTGCAAATCATATGGAAGGGAAAAGCCAAATGGTACGAAATTATGTCTATGTTTCCTACGGAATTAGCTTCTGAATCCAACACTTAGAACGTCAGAACCACCAAAAAGCACCAAAAAGTATAGTGTTCCAGAAGTAAAGACCGCCAAGATTTGCAAATCATATGGAAGGGAAAAGCCAAATGGTACGAAATTATGTCTATGTTTCCTATACGGAATTAGCTGCTGAATCCAACACTTAGAACGTCAGAACCCCCAAAAAGCACCAAAAGGTATAGTGTTCCAGAAATAAAAGATCGCCAATGTTTGCAAATCATTTGTGAGGGAAAAGCCAAATGGTACGAAATTATGCCTATGTTTCCTAAGGAATTAGCTGCTGAATCCAACACTTAGAACGTCAGAACCCGCAAAAAAAGCACCCAAAAGTATAGTGTTCCAGAAGTAAAGACCGCCAAGATTGGCAAATCATATGGGAGGGAAAAGCCAAATGGTACGAAATTATGTCTATGTTTCCTATACAGAATTAGCTGCTGAATCCAACACTTAGAACGTCAGAACCCCCAAAAAGCACCAAAAGGATCCAAAAGGTATAGTGTTCCAGAGATAAAAGATCGCCAATATTTGCAAATCATATGGGAGGGAAAAGCTAAATGGTACGAAATTATGTCTATGTTTCCTACGGAATTAGCTGCTGAATGCAAAACTTAGAACGTCAGAGCCCCCAAAAAGCACCAAAGGGTATACTGCTCCAGAGATAAAAGATCGCCAATATTTGCAAATCATTTGTGAGGGAAAAGCCAAATGGTACGAAATTATGCCTATGTTTCCTACGGAATTAGCTGCTGAATCCAACACTTCGAGCATCAGAACTCAGAACCCCCAAAAAGCACCAAAGGGTATACCGTTCCAGAGATAAAAGATCGCCAACGTTTGCAAATCATATGGGAGGGAAAAGCCAAAGGGTACGAAATTATGTCTATGTTTCCTACGGAATTAGCTGCTGAATCCAACACTTAGAGATAAAAGATTTCACAATCCTTTCCACTATCATCAGTGACCTAGACACGTTCTAAGTGTTAAATCCCCGGTACGTTCTAAGTGATGAATCTTGATATTTGGGCGTTCTAAGTGTATGGTTTTCGACGTTCTAAGTGCAAGGCTTAGAACGTAAAAAAAGCAGTAATATTCAGATTTTTTTTTCCAAAATACCTTCTAAGTGATTGTCCGTCACTATAGATATATAGTGTTTTGGGGTAGAATTGTATTATATTATATTATATCATATTAGATTATATTTTATTATATTATATATATTACCCTATTTTATTTTATGTTATACTGCATGTTAATACAATATTGTATATATGCCTTACCAATTGTATTGTATGACTACTTTACATGGACGGACATACACTTAGAACACATGTTTCGCACATGTTGGAAAAATAAGATGTGTTCTAACACGTTTCTGATGATGTTCTAAGTGGCTCACTTAGAACATGTTCTAAGCCTTCACTTAGAACAGTTGGGGTGAATTTCTCCGGCAGCAAAACGGTGTTCTAAGTGTATGAAAAACAATTTTGGAAAACACTTTGTGTTCTAAGTGTATGTCCTACACTATATATATAATTATTACGATTATGATATTCATTCATTCATTCATTCATTCACTCACTCACTCACTCATTCATGTCATTTCATTCATTCATTCATTCAATCATTTCATTTCATTCATTCATTCCATTTCATTTCATTTCATTTCATTTCATTTCATTCATTCATTCATTCATTCATTCATGCATTCATTCCTTCATTCATTTCATTCATTCATTCATTCATTCATGTCATGTCATGTCATGTCATGTCATGTCATGTCATGTCATGTCATGTCATGTCATGTCATGTATTCATTCATTCATTCATTCATGTCAATTCATTCATTCATTCATTCATTTCATTTCATTTCATTTCATTTCATTCATTCATTCATTCATTCCATTTCATTTCATTTCATTTCATTCATTCATTCATGCATTCATTCATTTCATTCATTCATTCATTCATGTCATGTCATGTCATGTCATGTCATGTCATGTCATGTCATGTCATGTCATGTCATGTCATGTCATGTCATTCATTCATGTCATTCATTTCATTCATTCATTTCATTTCATTTCATTTCATTTCATTCATTCATTCATGCATTCATTCATTCATTCATTCAATCATGATTATCCTTCTCTGAGAATCCGCACCGCATTCGTCGCCTCTCTGGCCGATTTTGACAAACGATATGCTGCCGGCCGCACATGAAAAGCAAAGCCGCCAGTGAATTGGAATTGAGTGCCATTGTTCGGGCTTAAGCATAAAAAAAGATATGAAATGTCTAGCTGAACCGATTCCACAATTCTTTACCGCCATTTTGCACCCAGGCACCTCTGCTTGGCAGTGGGCTGCGTGGACGGGGTGAACAGGGCCTTCACGATGGCATAAGAGTCTGTGTCGATACTTGTGATGTTGCTGGGTCCAAGATGGAGCAGTTTGGGTGAAGCAACAGAAATATTTACTGTGTTTGTACATGATCTTGGTGATCCCTCTGATGGTCACTTTGCAGAGAAACTGTGCAACTGGCAAATGTTTGCTACGCTCAGTTCCCAAATGATTGATGGCCAAAAACCACACTGAGTGGATCTCAGTGATGCTTCTCAGTTGGTCAAACTCAAGGCTAGCAGCATCTCACTTGTTCAGAAAATCATTCTTTGCTCACCTGAACCCCCATCGGATAGCCTGTCGATCGGATAGCCAGTGTGCCAAGGGATGTTCGACCTCATGTGGGATCCCATGAGGAAATTCTGGGCCTTGAGTGATAGAGCCATGAGCCCGATGAGTCTTGGAGGGTCGACCATCAACTGCATACTGCAAAGTAGTTCACTGAAGTTTACTGTCAACTCCAGATTAGTAAACCCTGGTTTATCAATTTGATGGGGTACCGTCAAATAGTGATAATTTGCGAATAGAATATGGGACCCCCCAATTAAACAGCACGGGGCTTTATGAATCAAGGGTTGCTGTCAAGTTCTGTGGTACAGCTGAGCTGTTCCGACTCCAGGATGTGCTTTTCGTAGGTCTTTCTGCAAACATTGTGATTAATGGACCCCGCCTGGCCAGGAAACGAGGAAGAACCTTGAGATACCTTGAGGCCTTGAGCCTCTGGCATTTCAACTCGGGCTTTGAGATCTGTGATGTGTTCACAACAAATATCGTCAAAAACAGTGAATGCAGCTTTGAATCCAATCTCAATGTGTGTTACATGTTACAACTCCAAAACCCGAAACAAACTTGAGTCCACACCAAGATCGACATCCTGTCCGTCAGGCCTTTCCCGGGATGGTCGTCCAGCTTGGTTCCGTGCCCACCATCGACAAGTCCTGCATGAGTTGTCTGCTAATGCAACAGGCGCTCAGATGTTCAACCGCTAACTGCGTTCATGTGCAAGATGTCTGTGTGTTTGCAGCAAATCTAAATAAGTATGTTCCTGAAGTGTTCCTGAAGTTAATGAGCATATTGTCAGTATACGAGTACTCCATCCAATCTCGTCATAGGCATCGTTTTTCTGTTTCGTTTTGACCTTTGACATGTCACATGCGTCCTAAAAGCTGATGCTGTCTGCGAGATCAAACAATAGCGCGTGGCGGCGAATGGCAATCTTTGCGTGCCAACTTTTTGAAGCTGTGAAGCCCTAAGAATGGTTTGTAAAAATGAATGCCTAAACCGCCTAAACCGTAGCCTAAACCGCGTCATATACAGCGTGTATGATGTTCTACCATAGGAATGCCCAAAAGCAAGCTCAAACATCTTCAGGATGCGCTTTGTCCGGCTCCGTTTCACAGTACCAGTATGCTGTTTTAGTTTGCTGTTGTGTCTGGAATATGATCTCCATCAACTAGCTTCTGGCATCTGGAAAAGTCGTTGTTGTCCCCAGTACCACACAAATAATTCCTACCTGTCATGATGAAGTTCCCAAAGAATCTGAGAGCCGCAAAGCGCAGAACATAGCTCCACGAATGGACAGCCCCCATGCTACACTTGGCTAGTGTGAGTGGCATTGGTCTGTTGATTGTTTCCATCGCGATACCTGTGACAATGGCCAATTGCTAAGTAGCCTGCTGAAAATCAGGACAGTGCGTAGTGGGTATTGCTTGCAGCTGCAACGCGGGCCTTCTGCAGCAACATCCTCTGCAGCAACATCCTCTGCAGCAACCTGCTCCTTCCGGTCTAGGGTTGTTGATGAAGCCACAAAGCCTCCTTCTAGAAGAATCACGAAGCATGATTCAGTTGCGCTTGTATTATAATGACAATGTTTGGAAACATATGAAACATGTTCAGCATGAAATTCTTGATTTGAATCTGGTGGTGTAAGGTGATGTCAAGGATTGTACCATTGTTTGGTGCCATGTCAGGCCATGTCCAGATCAGAAACATCACTATTCGACCCAGCTTCCCTGCCTCGATAGCTGCTGAGGCCTGCATCTGCTCCTGTCTTGGAGATGTGGACAACTAGTCACAGTACAACTGACACACTTGGGCACACAGTGCAGAATACGTGGCTTATCGTGGCTAATTGGAAGCTAAGGAGACACGCGGATTTCCTTGTCCAACTGTTTTGTGTTTGAAAGCTTTCAGCATACCAGTTAAGACTCTTCAAGGTAATTCATTCTTGAGCGGTAGTCATCATGGGAGTGACTTCATGCATGTCAAATTCATGTCATTGCCATTTTCGGTGTTCGGTTCCAGTAATGCGTTACTCCATGTTACTCCTACTTCTGCAAGCGGTGGTGTATCATGGTCTCTGTGGCGCGGACAGGTGAGGCAGACACGGTGATTTCAGATGAAGACACCTTTGACCAGAGAACTTCACTAAACATCCCTGAAATCTGCTGGACAAGGTGAACAAAACCCAACAGGAAAGTTGGAAGGACTCAAAGAATTCTACAACTAGTAGATTGAAAATCATGATCACAACAACAATAGCTACAGTCGTCATCATCATCATCAATCAATCCAATCCAATCCAATCCAATCCAATCCATCAATCAATCAATCAATCAATCAATAGTCACCATGTTTTGATGATGTTCCCATATTTTCCCATTAATAGCTCCATTTATAAGAAATTTCCGAGCGAGCCGTGTTTGAGTACCGAAGGGTACCGCAGACCCACCTCCGCTGGAGAGCTTCTGGCACCTGAAATTGGGAAATCCAAAGCCAGGTCCTCACCATGGCTACTGCTACGGTATGCAATATAGTAAATGTATGTTATATTATATTATGATACATAATGGTCTAATACCGGGTATTGTGTATTATACCTTATATAATCTTAAAGTCTTGCACATTTACATATATAATTAGATGTGTTTTTCATCAACTGACAAGATCTACAGAACATGTCTGCACATTTGTTTAAACTGTTTCAGGACATACCTCTTGACATCAAACGGCAATATCACTGGTCGCCAGCAGAGCTGTCCCGTCGCTCTGAGGTGGCGGCAGTGCTGCACCTCCGATCGCCTGACATGGAAGAAGCTTCCAGAGGAGTCTTCAAAGAACCCTGGAAGATTTTGATTCTGAATGCCAGATGTTTAATTTCAAGTTTCTGAGAGTATAGCTGCCGATGCTTAGAATGCAAAGGAGTAAGGTCTGTTATGCGCCAGCTTTTATCATATTGTATAGCTTTCTTGAGATTTCCCTCTGCCGAAGCCTCTGACTTCTTGCCGGGCTTGGTACCAAGTGCAACTGCAGTGAAGCATCTTGCAGCGAGGCATCCTGTAGGGTTGCAATAAACCCCTGATCATCAATTGGATCTTGAACCCTGGGTTCTCTTTTGGGATTTGCTTGATGGTCACCCATTTGGAGAACTTGAGAAAGCAGCAGCAATGCCAAAGTCTTGTGATTGCTATTGCTATGGCACCATGGTCACTGTCTTCGAAAAAGTCTTGGCAGCTAGAACCTGACACATACATCAGCTCTGGTGTACAAAAAAAACATATCTGGGTTTGCTGCAAATCACTTTAAGTAGTACAAGAAATTCACAGCTCTGCCTGCATCTATGGGAATGATGTTATTTTGTCATATCACCAACTATCAAAGGCGCACCAGCGCCATCGCGAGCCTTGGGATCTGTCCACTTCCAGTCTGCTTCGGAGCTATGTCCTTGGCACCGGCTCCACAGAGGCATTCCAAACCACGAGGCCTACATCTTGACGGAGAGGACAGTAAGTATTTGAACATAGAGAAAAAGGGAATGAATGGTCAACAATGGTCAACATATCTGACATGTCTTCAAGCTCAGCTGGGGTCCTTCTCAAACCGGAGATCTGTGGTACTGACGTATCATTGTTCCGTGTAGCAGTGTAGCAGTGTAGCTGCTGCCTATGTCACTATCACATACTATCACTACGGCCTCTCTTTTCACAGCCAAACAATCAGCCACCATCTTTACTCGACGTCGCTGTACTGGTGCTCTTTGACACCTTCTTTGCAGCAACCTGGCAGGGCATGGCACTGGCAACAAAGACATAGGGTGCTTAAAATCCGCCAGCACGTCCTTTCAAACCGACTCAATTCCGCAAAACAACCAAAGCCCGTCACACATTCAAAATGTCTACAAATGGTTGTTGATTTGGAACCTATGGAAACTGCCCAATCAATTCACAATTCATTTCCATCTGTGCCTTCGCTTTGGCTTTTCGCTTTCGAGATTCCACAGGCGCCAAATGCGTCAAGATGTAGCACTGCACCTGATGGGCACTGGTGAAGCAGATGTGAGCTGATCCCCCCATAGTTCTGCGCGAAAAATGCATTTCAGAACCAGCAATACTACGGAAACGTAGGAAAACTGAGGCTACGAGTAGTTGACAACACTTGGACTGCCTTCTGAATGATATGGACATATCCCCAAATTCTCGGCGATGGTTTTTCCCTGTGGCAAATTCTGCATCCTGCACTGCTCCATGCTGCTTTTTGATGCTTTTTGATGCTTTTTGATGCTTTTTGTGTTTTAGTCCCACTGGGCTTCTCTCACTGAAACCATTCAAAGTTCAAGAGCTACCAATCCACCAATCCTCTTTAGCCCCTGAATCTGCGCTTCAATTTTCATGTTTCTGCAGTTTATGATGTTTCACCATTGTTTCACCATTGTTTCACCATTGTTTCAGTGCCATCCCACTGGATGTCTCGCCTCCTGCAGCACCAGCAGCTCTCCTGATCGCACAGCACGGCTCAGCTTGGCGCGGTCTGACTCCCCCGTGGGGTCCGTAGCTACGCGCTGCTTGAGCTTGGACAACAGACCTAGGAGACCTTGGAAAACGTGGGAAAGCAATGGAAAGCATGGGAAAACAATGGGAAAACATAAAAGACACATAAAAGATCATCAAAGTTTGAAAACGAGAGGTTAAGTCAGGAGCTCGACAGCACAATCACTGGCCCAGAGCTGTTGAGAGCTTTGCAGCACTAAGCGAAGTATCGCAAGCAATATAGTCAAAATATGTCAAGATTCAATCTTTGACTGCATGTAATCGGTTGAAGTCAAACCAACTAATTATATACATCTAATTACAGTAGTTCTCTTGACAGTATTGACAACATTTGACAACTGTGAAGCTTCGTGAAACTACCAGGGTTTTCAGCAGTGTGAGTCTGCAGCGTGCGGTCGTTACACGGCCAGTTACACGGCCACTCCACCTTGATCCACCCTGTGAGCCCAGCTGACGAGCCACACACGGTCACCTTCTGCCCATGCACGCTGCCGCGAGCGTGAAATTTTTTCCCCAACCTGGGCCCATCTCGGCTCAGAGCCACATCTCGGACTGTGGATGTCAGTGCTCAACATGCTGAACTATTGATGCACAGTCGATGCCTGTCTGATGATTCTGTTAGGAAATGGGACCACTTTGGCACTGCATTGGCAATGCAGTTGGATCAATCCCTGATCTACAACTTTGGTTCTGCGAGAACCGTCCAGGAATCACCAGACCAACTCCAACTCACACCGCAACGTTTGCCGAGCAACACTTGGAGATCTGAGTCGTGGAACTCTTGATAATCTGTCCTGGCAGAGTTGAAAAAAGCCACTCATCCCAGCTGTGTCGAGATCAACCGAGATCAACTAAGCCTGGGCATTTCAGCAGGCTCGTATTCTGCCGCTCATCATTATCATATTGCACTCCAGTAATCTCATGAAAGCTTCTACTTGATCCTCATGTGGGTTTCTCTGAAGATACTGGTTACCAGGTATATACCATCAGGTAGCCCAAAAAAACATGTATATTGTTTATCATGTTTTATCGTGGTTTATCATCAGTTTCCTTATGAAAATTGCCATAGATTGGGGGTACCAGTATCCCTTCATGGACGCCAGGACACTGGCTCATCAGGATCACCTGCACCACCGTGAGCAGCTCAGCAGGCAGCACACCAGAGGCAGGGATCGCATACCTGGGGCCCATGCGACAAGGGCTGACATGGTCCCAGGCTTCATCATGGAGTCATTGCTTCTATAGACGTTCACCTGTCATATTCATGCATATTCTGCATCTGGATGCATCTGGAGTGTCTGAATTTGACGCAACCGCAATGGATCATGAATGTCCTCATCCAAATCCAGCAAAGACGGATCATTTCCCGCTGAGAGTCACAGGTTTCAAGAGGTTTTGCACTCGGGCCAAACGCTCCGCTTCGTTGCCAATAGAACTTGGACGACACCTCGGTGTCAACGGGTTTGCTGCGTTGATTTGAAAGAAAACATCGAGGGACAATGACAAAATATGCCATAATACCCATGAAATCTGGAAGAAAGCGCATGTCTCATTTTATATTTCACTCATCTTATTCCGCCTGCAATGAGGCAACTAAGTTCGCTTCGTTAGTTCATGATGTAGCAGCAGTGAAGCTGACTAATTTACATAATATGTCTCTGTTGCGAGCCAGTAACGCCTCTAGCAGCTCCTGCTGGGTAGCCACCAACACATTGTTGGGATTGGATCTGCCCATCTCAACCTGACCAACAAAACCCAAAACACTCTGTGGATAATCATCAAAATATTGCCCCAGAATGTGAAGGGAAAACAATCTACTGAAAACCCAAAACAACAACGACGACGACGACGCCGACGACGACGCCGACGACGACGACGCGGACGCGGACGACCACAACAACAACAACAACAACAACTTGCTTATCCGGCACCTGCATGACTTTGGGTTTTGGGGATCACCCGTCATGTGGGTTCAGTTTGCATGGACGTGCATGGAAACTTATTGCAGGTTATGTACAACCAGCATGTTTGTGCAGCTGTGCATCAAAACTTTGGATAAAATTTGTGGACTTGGAGGGCCCCAGGATAGAAAAAATAAAAGGGTTGGCATGGGAAACATCGCAACATGACGCTTCTCCATGGAGAAAAATGTGCTGATCAGCCAAAGTCGCAAAGCCATAGGTTCGCAAGAGCTCCGCATCAGAATGCTCGCCATAGGATTTAAACCTCTGCAAACAGGCATCAAGGGAAAGGAATTGTGTCCCGGAACCCAATGAAATTGGAAACAACATGTTACGATATGAATGTCTATGTGTATACACATTGTGAAGTCTATAGGACGGTTTTTAGAGAAAAAAGTAGTGCCAACCCATAGCAAACAGCTAGGACTATTGAATACTATTGATTTGAGAGGCAGAACCTCTGCGCACTTTACAATCTACAAGCAAGCGCAACATACTTTTTAAATATCAATCTGATTTTGCCCACACTTGGGCAGGGGTCAAAAAACTGAGGGATTCCTAGCTTTCCAAACTTTGATGCATACCCACGTTCCTCGCCCAAATGCCAGGGGACAATTCAGAGCCAATGGCCACATCTTTGGAACATCGCACCACAAAATCCTCTGCCTCGCCACAGGTGGAGGGTTGGCCATGGCCATGGCTCTAAGCGTCCTTTTCAAATTCACTGTTTGGTGGACCTTGAAAACGAAATGTCAAGAAAAAAGCAAAAGTTCATATCTCTGAGGCCTTGCTTTCAAGTGTCCGAATGTATTCGCCGGGTTCCCCCACACTTCCTCATGCATGTTGATTGAGGGTCATTTGCATGGGTGACCGGCGTACAATCGCTCAAAGTCACGCGGCCTCAACATCAAGCTGCACACAATGCTCTTCAGACCAAGAGGAGTGATTGATCAAGTCAAACAGCCTTAGATGCAGAGTGGGGTGGCCTTTGCCTTGGCCTTTTTTGGACTCCAAGGTGCAAGAAATGTATACGTTCCAGCCTCCAGCTTGAAACAACGCTGTTGCTTGGGCTTTGGGCCCCTCGTGCTTGGCACCTTGACACATTACCCGGATTTTGACCTCCATGCAGCTACTTTGATGGATGTGAAACAGTTTGGTGAGACTGATGACTGATGTGGTGTTTCCGCAGCTTTTGGCGGTGGTTCATTTTCTTGGATTTTACTAGGAATTTGGTAGAAGCAAACGCTCCAAACTGTGTCTTCCTGACCAATAATCTTCAGGTCAGCTACACTTCACAAAGAAATCTTGCCCTCCTCAGTCTGAAAGGGCACTGCGCAAACATCTCTTCCATGACTGATCTCTTTCAAGCAGGTCGCCAAGTCCATCTCCACCTCTTTGGGTATCGAATCACAGTCACAGAAGTTCAAACGCAAGCGTTCCAGACTCAGGTGCGACCGTAGTTGGGTGCTGAGTTCCCCCAAAGTCTGCAGGGACCTGCATCCTGACATGTTCAGCTCAAAGTCAGTGAGGGTGAGATGTTCCAACGGCCTCACCAGATCTTCCAAAGAAGCGAGCGAAGTACACTGGGATAAGCGTAAATGAAAGATTCTCATCGCTTGCATATCATCTGACAAGACGTGGAGTGAAGACAAACTTCGGCAGTTGGTTAAATCCAGCTGCAAGGTGTGTAGGGAAACCATGTTTGGGAAGCAGCTACCATTTGAGGCGGAGCCTCCCAAGTGCTGCAGCTCAGCACATCCCGACATATCGATATGCAAGACCTCAGGGAACCAAAGGGAAGGATCTGTTGTTCGCAAGCGGAATGGGTACCCTCAGCTGATTTCATGTGAATGGCCAAGTATTTACTATACATCTCTAATCATCCTTAAGATCCTTAAGTAGAACGGGCTGATGTTGTACTCCTACCCATGTTTGCATTGCGACTGTGAACTTGGCACCTGCAAGAGACTCAAATGCTGCAGGCTCCTGCAGAAAGCGTCTGCTGATCGCAAGGGACAGCGGAAGGTCATGTGGAGATCTTGTAGCAACGCAGATTTCTTCGAAAAATGTCCTGCAGTCATCAGCTTTGGGCTGTCTGACACAGTGAGATCCAAGGATTTCAGCTCCGCCAACGCAGGCACTCCAAAGGATAGCCTCAGCGAACCACAGGTTGCCTTCAATTCCTTTTCTGGGCAACACCTTCAAAGGCAAACAAACCCATGAAGCAAAGAAAAATATGAACTGCCTAGACACCATTCATCAATGCTATTGCTTCTGCAGTTCTTGAGATTGGCCCTCAAATGTGAGAGCTCTCCAAAAGGTTCCACACTCAAATCCTGGCTGCCACTCATTTCGTGGCAATACCATCCTCCTGGGTTAGGCCGTGATGCGAAGGGGTGACACCAAAAGCCATCACCGGCCCCCAGGGTGCCGTGCTTCATGACCCGGCGCACAAAGTTCACCATGGGCTCATCCCACGAGTGTCCAACAAACCAGGCTGGAAGCTGTGCATGTTCTTTCTTGGCAACGGCCTCAACATAGCTACACTGGTGTCTCAGGCTCAAGGGATGGATTAACCAATGGTGCACCTGAGACAGAGTCATCTTCTTGTAGAAGAGCTGCTCACCGCTCCGATGATCATACCAACCTCTCACTGCATCCTCAGAGTCACAACGTTTCTTGACATAGACCAGGAGTTTCTTCAACTGGTCAAAATTGATTCCCCTTCGATCCACATTGGAAATCCGCAAGGCTCCAGCCTCCGGGGTGAGTTCGGAGAAATCCAGGTCCTCGGGTCTCAGTCGGCCTAAACTGGACCAGGATTCAACTGCAGGTCTTCTGGGTCGATCTGAGCAACTCGTCAAAGACCCAAAGTTGATCTCCTCTTCGTCATCATCCTCCACCTGGTTGCGGTCGATGTTTCTTTAGATGTGTCTAGTATTGTCTAGGATCTAGTTATCCATGAATAATCATCGTATTGGGTGGTCTTCATCCTGAAACGACCTGAGTTTCCAGGAAATTGCTCCTCGCTATCTATCAACCTTGAGAAAATGGGATCATCCCTAGTCTGCATCCATCATTTCATCATTTCCTGCCAAAAAATCGGAGGATATAAAGACATATAAAGTATAAATGAGTATAAATAGTATAAATATATATATATATAATTATATAAATATCATATACTTTCCAAGTCATCCATCCATCATCCAGGCTTTTGGCCATCCACCTGATTCCACTCCGGCAGTTTGGTGACCCTTAAGCCATCTCCATCTTCACAGCGACAGCAGGTGACCAGTGGCTCGTCCCCCTCCAGCTCCGTCATGACTCATGGGGTGAAACGACCGCGGAGGGAGTTCTACTGCGTTGCACTCCCTATTGCAATGCTTGTGACTTAGTGGCAAGAGTGTGGCAAGATTTGTGTGTATATAATATGATATAAGTGTACTGTATAGTGGTACGGTATAATGGTAGGTATATGTAAATGAAGATTTATATATATATATATATTGATATACATTGCAGAATGCACCCGTTCTGCAAAATGCGCAGGTTGGATTAAGGTTGTCCTGAAGTGCAACGTAGCTGCTGCCTATTGAACCTATTGCAGTTGCAAGTCCTTCAGATTTTATCCATTTGAGCCATGCAAACTATGGGCAGCGAGGGTGGGGTATCGCATCCATACCCAAGCATCTCCTGTTCAGCAGCGTGGTACATGTGTTGGATATCAGAGCAATATGGTATAGGCATAACTACAATATGTTCCAGCTATATACTTGTATGGGACCAAAACAGAGTCCTTGGAATGCCTCTGGTCTAGATCCCGATGTTCACAACTTAAATGGAAGCTGTCTAGCCTCTTGTTTGGATGGGGAAGGCGGTGTCACAAAAAGCAAAACAGCAGGTCGCACAGCAGATTAAGCTTCTTGTCATCCCACTTCCCAAGCATCTTATAGTCATGTTCAATCGACAAACAATCTCATGTCATGACTTGCTAAAATCAAGTTCGAGAAACATACATGGAGGTTTCCTAAAATGAGGATATCCCCAAATCATCCATTTTGGGGTATCCCCATTGTAGGAAACCTCCATATTATGGCAAACTGCATCAAAATGCCTTCAAGCAGCGGAAGAAGGAAGGGTCCTGTGGTAGATTTGCTCTCCGCCATCAGCTCTGGAAGGAACGCTCCACCAACTTCAAACGACAAAGCCCCGCAGAAACCGCGTGACCTGCACATCCCATCTGTGGTGAGTTCGCCTCTGACCAAAGTCTAATCAGTCTAGTCCAAGACTATTACAACATGTTACAACCCGTGTCAACCCAACGTGCTAACGATGAGGCCTCCTTGTAAGTGAGATTATCAAGTCCTTGGCATCCCGCCCAATTTCGAATACAAGCACTGAGGAGCAGGCATCACCCAAGATAGCGTTTGCAAGAACCTTGCAACAAACCGGCCAACCAAGCTATGAAGAGGGAAAGGAAAACATAGAGCGCATCTCCTCCTAAAGATTCAGCATTGCGTAGTTCTGGGTCATACTCCATTGCATTGGTTATACTATTTGTTGCTTGGCTATGTGGTAAAATAATATATATATATATAAAGATATACTCCGCCGCAGTTCAGTGAAAGATGTGCTCCGTTTCCAATGTATGTCAGTCAGCACCGTTCAGGTCTTCAGTTTTGACCAAGATGCATTCCTGTGGTCTGAATTTCTTTCGGCCACAAATCGGGGTTCGCCACCATGATTGGCATCCTTGCGGGACAGAGATGCTGCAAGTCAGTCAATTTTTTTTTAGACGGCAATAAATAGCATAGCCAGTTTCAAACCGAAAAATTGTCGTTTTGGCCTTTGAACAATCCTTCAAACCGCAAATCAACGGGCCAACCATATTTTACCCTTGGAAAGTGCCATTAGTTACTTCCCTAAAGTATCCTAAAGTCATCTATATAAACTCATCGGAACAGAGACTGGGTGACCCTCCGCATGGAATTGAAATCAAATATGGAATCCGGAAATCTTCAATGTCTTCTGGTTCTATAGAAATGCCCAAACTGCATCATTGGACTCTCGTTTTCTGCTTGTCTTCAATGCCCAGGATCACCACTCGCTCGAAAATGTCTGATGCTTGGGCAGGTGTGGATGACAACCAGGAAGCAGTGCCCTTGAGCCCTGCAGATGCCACGTTGAGGATGGTCAAAATAAGTCAAGATCCAGTGAGGTTTATATTACCATTCCGTACGTAGAATATGCATATCGATTACATCCATATGTCTCATTGTACATCCGTGTACAACAAAATATGTATACTATATAATAAGATATATTTAATAATATAATATATATATATATGTAATATATAATATATATTATATAATATATAATATATAATATATAGTATATTATATATAATACATAATATATAATATAATATATATATGTAATATATAATATATAATACATAATATATAATATATAATATATAATATATTATATATAATACATAATATATAATATAATATATATATATGTAATATATAATATATAATACATAATATATAATATATAATATATAATATATAGTATATAATATATAATATATAATATGTAATATATAATATATAATATATAATATAATATAGATAATATATAATATAATATATAATATTATATATTTTATATTATATTATTTATGATTTATAATATATTATATTATCTATAATATATTATATATTATATATTATATATTATATATTATATATTATATTATATATTATATATTATAATTATATATTATATATTATATATTATATATTATATCTTATATATTATATCTTATACTATATATAGTGTATAATATGAGACATATATATAATATACGTGTGTATATATATTTATTTATTTATTTATTATTATAGTATACCAGAAAGGTGATGACATGTGATGACCAGCCCCAATGCCCCAATGCATCAGCCTTCCAGATCGTTCTGCGACCAGCTCATGGGCAAATCAAGCTGCACGGAAGTGGCCAGAAAGTTCCTGAGAACATGACATGGAAAAATGTGGTAAACCCATGGTAAACCAAATAATGAAATATAACGAATCCCCATTTTGGATCATTTTGGAGGGTTTATACAACTCATCCCTGGCAAAATTAGTGAAAATTGAGTACGGTTCATTACTGGGTTTACCAAACTAATACTTGTCAAGCATAGCATGAGTGAAGATGTGCAGTAAGATGGTGAGAATTGCAACAAAATTGTCGAAGGAAGTTTAGAAATCAAACTTCCGACAATATGGACAGATGAAAAGCAGAGATGGGAAGAGTCAGAGAGAAGAGAAGAGTCGAAGAGAGAAGATCAGAGACGAGAAAGAGTCAGAAGAAAGAAGATGCAGATGCGCGAAAAGGTAGGAAAGTCGCGAAACACTGTGTTTTTCCAATGATTTGTGGCTCCGGGGTCGAAAAGTAGGCTCGCTAAGGCGGCGGGTGCGGAGCCATCTGGCCAGATGAGAGATGACAAATTGCACGCCGTTGTGGCGCGAAGCACATTTCGAAGTCAAAATGTACAAAACACACCAGGTCCGGACCACTTTTGGCAGTTGCGATGTCCAAAAAGTGCACGCCGTTGTGGCGCGAAGCACATCTCGAAGTCAAAATGTACAAAACACACCAGCTGCGGACCACTGTTGAGATGTCGGAAAAGTGCACGCCGTTGTGGCGCGAGGCACGTTTCGAAGTCAAAATGTACAAAACACACCAGCTCCGGACCACTTTTGGAAGTTGAGATGTCGAAAAAGTGCACGCCATTGTTGCGCAAAGCACATTTCGAAGTCAAAATGTTAAAAACACCAGGGGTTCGGACCACTTTTGGATGTTCAAATGTGCTTTCTCGTGGCAGGCGCAAGGGATTGTGGACCTTGTCAAAAGTGAGCAAAACGTGAAGGTTTTGTAGCATTTTCAACTACAACCACCACTACACCACACTACACTCCAATACGCTACACAACAACTACAACTACCCCTTCACTACATTCCACTACTCTACACTACACTCCACTACACTACACTACACTCAATTACACTCAATTACGCTCAAGTACACTCAATTACACTCAATTTCACTACACTACACTACACTACATTACACTACTCTACACTAGACTACATTCCACTACACTACATTCAATTACGCTACACTACACTACACTACACGACCCTACCCCACATTGCATTACATTAGATTACGTTACATTACACTACACTCATTACACCACCACACATGCAACTGCAACTACACTACACTAATTACACTACACCATAACTACAACTCCACTACACTACAACTACAACTACAGCTGCACTACACCACACTACATCCAGCAGTTGTGGGTGAGGTGACCGACCAGCTGACCACTGCAACCATTGCAGCCACTCCAAAAAACACAGCTCCAACCACCTTTCGGTCCATCAGTGGATTCGCTCTGCCATCCGTGATTCACAACAACCAATCTCTCCTATAGGTTTCCTATTTTTGAAACTTCCGCCACCGCCTTGTGCGGTACTACTGGTACACCTATGTTTGAATGCTTCAGGCTTTGAGGAACGGTGAATTGTTATATCCTGATGCCCAATTCTTCTGCAAAATGCTCAGCTCCTGTGCCTGAAGTGGCACATTCATCGTGATACCCATCGAGCCCGGTTTCTGAAGAGCGGAAACGGAACAGAAATGAACAACTTGGTGGCAGAGGTCTTTGGCCAAGCTGATCCGATCTTGGTGGGTGTTTGGGAGGATTCTTGCCAAGTTCCTACCATTAGACATGCCCTGTCTTCACCACACAGACTGCGCTGCGCAGTCTCTTGGCCGAGCATTGCCGAGCATCAGGTATGGCCACCATCGAGACCTGCTCTTTTGAACGTGTAACTCATGCATCATCGTCAGGGTGAGGCGGAAGGCATTGGACACAGGCTCCGAAGATCGCCTTCCGCTACGGCATCTACAACTAAAGTGTGGGTTATTGAAGGGTATTCACTGGTCATAGCGCCTCCCAAGTGGGAATCAAAAGACAAGCTACAGGTTGAATGCATCACATTACCATCCTATTTATCAACGGCTTTCATCATTTTGCTCTTGTCATCTAGTCATCACTTGTCCTTCAAAGAACCCCTAACTCATGAAGATACCATCAAATGTACTTCCAGGATCGGAGGCTGCAAGGGAACTGGGTTGGGCCACACAACATGACCCGAAGCCTCCAGAAGTCTGCAATTTCTGAGTCAGGCATCCGAGCACAGCAGCTCTGAAGCGACAACTGCCCCGGGATCCG